TTCTATCATTATTAGAGACAGAACAGCACTTTGGACCTAAATAACCCCACCTACATCAAAAATCACAACCTTGACAGTCATCTGTGAGACCACTGATGTGAACAAAAAAAAGACATTTTTAAAGACTTTAAAATTGAGTTATATCCTTAACCCTAAGTATCTGCAGAGAAAGCTGTCAAACTTTACCAGTTACATAAAGGCCTAATTTCAGGAACGGCTGTACCAGCACTCCCGAACCGTTCATTTCCACCCTTAGTTAGTTCACTCAGAGTCCAGTTTGCTAGGCTCTGTAGTCAGTATTACCTTTTCCCAGCTTACCGCCACTGAAATCACAGCTAAGTTAGGATTTGCTATGCGTGAAGACTGGCACTCTGCTGGAGGCAGGCTGCAACAGGTTAAGACGTTTCTGTCTCCAGCTGTCACTGCTCTTGGGTGATATGTAACTGAATCAACACAAATGGTTTAGCCTAAAGATAAAGCTTTAACTCCCACCCCCAAATAAACTACCCTCTCCCTAAAGTATAGCAGTATTAAACATGAATTACACAAAACCAAAAAAACCAATGAACTCTATGCTAACCATTGTGACAGAACCCCAAATCAGCGAAGTAGCTCTGCCCAGATCTTCCCTTTAATGAGTTCCCTGAAGAAAGAACCAAGAGTTTTACATTTAAAAGAGGAAGATAACGTCCAGAACACCTAAGTTTAAGAAAATTAATATTGATTATGATAGGAAAAAAAATGTAAGAAAAATATTTTTTATACAACTTTCCTCACGCTTAATGTGTCATTAAAGTTGGAAACTAGACCCCAGGCTTCATTTTAGGCAAGTGAGTGACTTCCTGGGTTGCAGTAAACTTTACTCAGTGCCTGGCAGACCCTAGGAAGGTTCTCTTCTATCACCTTTAAAGCCTGGCTCTCTGCTCCTTCAGCCATCTTCACTCTCAGCTCCTCTCCATGCTGCCATCCACTGGGACCCTAATTTCTGCATCCAAGACTCTGCTCTTCAGGAAAAGGCTCATTTTTCCTCCTTTTAGGAGTCCTAGCACTCAACTCACATTATGTAAAGAAATATTACATAAAATCAGGAACAAGCAAATCAGGCATGCTTTTTACATTGCCAAGGCAAGGGTAAGGATGTAGGAGAGACTTGCCCACTACAGCTGGAATGCTGATGTAAAAAAAAAACCAAAACCATCCCAAACAAACCAAAACAGAAACAACAACAAAACCAAAAAACCAAAACCCCAAATGGTTTGATGCAAACAGGACATTTATCATATGAGACTGCACATGTGTTTTGTTTTCATGTTAGATTCAGGAGAACAGCACTGAACTTAAACTGTTCTTATATTTCACTTGAACAGGTGAAAGTAGAAATAAAAACTAACCTAACTTTTCATAATCAATGCTATAAACAAGGCTATAAAAGTCAGAAAAGAGTTACTCTGGAATTGAAATATTAATAATAGGAAATATTAATCTCAAAGAAAAGAATTGCCTTTCTGTGCCCGAGAAGCCCTCATGACATAGCTCTGAGAAAGACAAGAAGGAGGTGCAAGCATGATACTTGCTACGTAACATCAGGACGAGTACCACTGTATCTGGTGGAAAGAGCAGGGCTCAAAGAGACTTGTTTCATAAACTGGAAGACTCTCAGATTCCTTGAGAAACAGCAGAACAATTCCCAGTTCCCAGACCAGAACTGAAAATTGTCATTTACGAAAGGATAAATCCTTCATAGCAGTAGCAGTGTTTACTATTAGGGCTATCAGAATAAATTACAATTCTTTTTGGTTTTGATTTTTTGCTTTGCCCTCTAGATACACTCTCCCTGCTCCCCACCAGTTCTTAAGCTGCCCCACAGTCACGATGACTTACTTTTTGCTGTGAGCAAATCAGAATTGGTGTGGTAAGAAAAAGGAATGTTATTTCTTCTGGTTCATTTAGTTGTCTGAGGCGAGATTGTTTTTCAAATAATTTGACTTTGATAAATGGATACTGGATACTCAGAACTATAAAATGGTTTAGTAAAGACAGAAAAAAAAAAGTCTTGTCCTTTTTGAAGGAAGAGGTTAGAGCTTGCGTTCTTATTCTGCCAGTGCTTTGATGAAAAGGGGAGGAAATATTCTGAGCAAACCGGAGCTAGAAACTCCTATCCTCTTAACAAGGTCTCCCCTGAATGGCTTATGACACCAAAATCACTGCATATTTTTACTGAAATAAATCACAGATGGTTGTAAAGCAGTTTTCCAATCCTTGAAAACATAAAGGTTTAGACTATTACCGGCCAAAATGTATTTTCCTAAGCAGACCCAGTTAAAAGTTTCACTGGAACTATTTACAGTCAAATTATTCATTTGATAGATTAACTTTATTTTTTTAGATATATAAATTTTAAAAATTAACATTTTTAATTGAATACATTGGTTTTATATATTGAATAATTACAATTTGATTGACTGAAACGGTGTTGAATCTTATTAACAAAGTTACTTTCCATAGCACTAATCTAAAATAGTTTGAGGTGATCAAAACAAACTTATCAAAAAATAAGCCTTGCCAAAAGCAGTACCTTGAAATCTTGTTTCATATAAGCATTAAAAGTTCACCTTTTTGCCTGACACATGATAGTTTATCAGGATCTTTAGCACACTATCTTAGCTAAATCTTGGCATGTTCTTGAGATGGAAAATTTGTTTCTACTTTTGATGAGCTCCAATTCTCACACTATTAAAATAACAATAACGTAATTGCAGTAAATATTGACAGCAGCAATAGGTAAAATTTCAGTAGTTTAAATCAGGAAAAAAGGAAGAAGACTCTTACCTTGAATGGTTATTCATTAAGCCATCAAATTATTCACAGCAAAGCTAAAAAGATCTGAAAACAATTGCAACTTTCTATTTGTTTAACAGCTTAAATACTAAATACAGTCTGTGGTCTAAATTTATTGTGAGCCTATATGGGAAGTTTTACCCTAATTCTTTCTCTTAACAAATTTAGATAAAGAGACAAAGATGCAAATGAAACAAGATTAATTCTTATTGTATTCTGCTGCCTTGGAGGTAGATGAAACCCACAGATGCAGCAGCGTGGCAAAAGTGGCATAGCTTTTGCTTGTTCCTCAGATGAAGTTATGACTCCACAGTTCTCAGAACTTGGCACCTGCATTATGATTAACATGAGATTCAAGTGAGGGCTGAGGGGAGTAGATTCCCACCAATACTGAGACTTTAAGGGGAAAAAAAATCCCTCAAGATTGCTATTAGAGGGTGATACAACCAGTATATGAAATAAAGAAGTTAAGAGGCAGAGGTAATACAAATAATGCACAAAAATATTTATGTAGACCTATGCAGAAAAACCTAGAAATACACATGAAATAACAGATTAAAATAGAATTTCTTTAGCACAGCTACTGCGACATGCTGATTTTTCAGAAGGCAATGCTCAATGATTATTCACAATCTCTATGGCATTTGCTCATGTCTAGAAAGAACTGAATTTATTCCATTCACAAATTACATCTGCATTTGTTAACTCTGGAACTTTGATTTAAAAATATTTCACCAACACTACATAGGGAAAAAACTCAAACAGATCAAACTAAAAGAAAATTCATATAAATCAAATTGGTATTTGTCAGCTATCTGTCCCACTAAACTACTAAACCAAAGTTCTGAAGAGTTTGATATGTTTTTCACTATGTATTTTTAGCTAAAAAAGGAGTAACATTCCCTCAAAATATTAACACCTTACAGTAAGATCAAATGTATTCTATTATATATTTAACATCAATGAAGAATTCCAATACACCTACAGATCATCCTACAGAGACAGAAGCCTATGCATGCAAATACCAGTAGGACTAGAATCAGTCTATACTTTGACAAATACATGGGATTAGTGTCCTGCTGATTAGCTAGCTATCATAATAGTTATCTTAGTGATCAATATTCAAAACATCAAATCAGGATTAGTGTGGCTTTATTCTGCATGTTGTCATCACAGTAAAGATTGGATCTTTACCCCAAGGTGTTCATAATCTAACAGCTGGATTTGCTTCTAATATTATTTACACTGAACCAGCTCTGCCAGGCATAAGATGTCCAAATTCCACAGATAACATATTGTAAATGAGCAGAGATCAAACTGGCAGACAAGATAATACCAGAAAAGTGAGTCAGCATTAAAGAGTGGGGAAGAAACACAATCTGTGTTAAAGCAGTTTTCCTAATTATACAGTTTGCTTCACTTCATACTTTATCTTAAGTGAAAACAAGACAATACATAAACAGAAAATCAACATGGAAGGGTAATGGAGGCAACTTTACAAGAGCAGATGAGCAGAAAGAGGACTGCTTCAGGTGTAAGGCAGAGAATAGAAAAAAACCCCAACAGTCGCATAAAGATGAGACAAAAGAATGAGTGGGACTATTAAGAGTAGAAAAAAGGAAAAACTAATATTTAAGCAAAGGCCCATTCAAATATGGTTCTGGGGTTGTGACTTTTGGTTTTATTTTACTTTCACTTTTACATCTGGTCTGTAACAGGATGAATTGATTAAATTAGTGGAACTGCTGGTGTTATATAGCCAATGGGAAGAGCGCAGGCTCTGGCCTTGACTTGTAAAAGAAATTTGAGCTAGAGACTGGAAGAAGATAGCTGGAGATCTTTACAGTAATATTTACATTGTTTGCTTGAAGTTGGAGAACAAGGAAAACAAAAGAAGTGAAGACAAAAGATAAAGATGCTAATCTTTCACATTGAATACACAAACTGTATTCAACATTTCTTTAGATGTTGGAAATGCAAAGCCTGTTAATGTCCCATCCGTTTTTATCCTTGGACTTGATTCATTATTAACTCTGGATTTACTTCTGATTTTATGCCGTGAACTTTTTAGGAATTTATTTATTATACAATCACTGAGACAAATAAGATTCTTTTTGGTCTGAATTCATAATTCCTCTGTCTACTATTTGCTGTTATATTACCTTGCCAACAAGCACCAACTGTCAGCTGCATGGCTATGTGTGAAGGGTGGATAGGCCAATCATTGGTCACAAGGTAAGGTTCATATGTTGTTCCATCCATGTATAAGGTAACAACAGGAAACTCAACATTGACAACGTAGTAATGCCATTCTTTATCACAAATCTGAAAGACAAAATGCAAGAGAAAAATATTAATTAGCACTCATTGTCAAGTGACTAATTTTTACATCTTATACATTTTTTTAAATTATATTGTTTCCAAATTACACTCATAGAAAAAAATAACATTGCAATTTATATATCACTAAAATTAATGAAAGTGTAAACCAAGGCTGATAAATACTTGTGGTATACATGCAGAATATATTTGACAGAGGTATCTGAAAACACACTCTTTGAAAACAAGGCATGGATAAACTAGAAAAGTCAGACAATTTGGTATTTGGTCTGTATTTTCACATTTGTAATACATAATATTAGGTTCTTAATGTCTATATTGACTTTTGAGAATACAAACCTATGTAAGAGGTGCATACTTGGGATGCATCAGCATAGTTACTGGGCATCCCTATTAGCTTCAGGTTAAGAAAATATACAGCACTTAGTCACTAGATCAATGAGTTATTATCAAGGATTTGATTCAATCGTCATTATTAACTTATTGCGTTAGTACTTAGAAAGTCCTATACAATGCAACAAGACCTCCACACTGCTAGAAGGACCTGTGTTGTTCTCTGCAAACAGACAGATGGACAAGTAATCTGTGTGTCTACCTGATTTGGGCAGGAAACCCAAATCTTCTCCATGCTCCATCTTTTGGCCTTGAGCATTTTGCCAGGTAGTTAGCAAAATGAAGATCTATATGGTTTCACTGATATACATTGGTTTTGAAAAGCAATGGCCACAGTTACAATATACTTTCAAGATGACAATATCAGTGTCAAATCTCATACAAATTTCGGATCTGGACAACCAGGGATTACTGCAAGATAGCGTGGTGGGTTTACCCTGGCTGGATACCAGGTGCCCACCAAAACCGCTCCGTCACTGCCCTCCTCAATGAGAAGGAGAGAAACAGGGGAGAGAAAATATAATGAAAGGCTCATGGGTCGAGATAAGAACAGGAAGATCACTTGGCAATTACGGTCATGTGCAAACCAGACTCAACATGGGGAAATTAATTTATTACCAAACAAATCAGAGTCAAGTAATGAGAAATAAAACCAAATCTTAAAACACCTTCCCCCCATCCCTCTCTTCTTCCTGAGCTTCACTTCACAAAGCAGCACAGGGGGATGGGGAATGGGGGTTGTGGTCAGTTCATCACGTCATCTCTGCTGCTCCTTCCTCCTCAGGGGGAGGACTCCTCATGCTCTTCCCCTGCTCCAGTGTGGGGTCCCTCCCACAGGACACAGTCCTCCACAAACTGCAGTTCTTCACAAACTTCTCCAGTGTGGGCCCCTTCCATAGGGTGCAGACCGTCAGGAACAGACTGCTCCAGTGTAGGTCCCCCTCGGGATCACAAGTCCTGCCAGTAAACCTTCTCCAGCATGGAGTCCTCTCTCCACAGGTCCTGCCAGGAGCCTGCTCCAGCGCAGGCTTCCCATGGGGTCACAGCTTCCTTTGGGTGCATCCACCTACTCTGGCGTGGGGTCCTTCACATGCTGCAGGTGGAATGTCTACACCCCCTCATCCTCCCTCCATGGGCTGCAGGGGGACAGCCTACCTCACCATGGTCTTCTCCAGGGGCTGCAGGGGAATCTCTGC